TGGCTTCTGCTCATGATGTGCCCAGTAAAGTGCCAACTTCTCTGTCTTATAACTGCTACTAGTCACACAGTTCTCTTATTAATCCACCCTTCTTGAATTCTTCCCATTTAATGTTCATCAATTTTATACTGTATGCTTATATTAAATAATTGTTGTACGGGGAAAAACACTGCATGCAATAACAGATAACTCATAGTGCAAGGGCAGATTACAAGTATATAAACAAGCATCCATATTTATGCACACACATAATATCACACACACATACAGACCCAGAGGTCAAAACACACTAACTTCAAGTTATGGTGTACAGATACTTGTACTTCCATAATGAGAATACAGCAAATATACGTTTTTAGCAACAGTAATCTGATCTACAAAAGTGGTTTGGCATATCTATTCATTATCTTAGTCCTCAGATCCAATAAAGAAATGTCCATATATGTTTGTACAGTATGTTTGTGTTAAATGTGACAGACACTACCGTATGACTAGAAACAACTTACCTCTGAGCAAGCTGGGTTTCTAGACTGTTGGCATACTTAGACTTGTCATCTAATTGTCCCTGCAAAAGACAAACACAACAGAGAATGTATCACAGCTAATGAAACAAGTGTTGTTTAAGGTTAAGCTTGTATCTCTTTGTTTTCCAGTTGAATGTAAGTGTCCATTAACTTCTGGCATCTGTAGCTCGGTGTGCCTAACGCAGATAGCCAGAATAAGTGAGCAATCTGCACCTAACCAGATAAGGGCACTTCACCGGCCCCGACAGCCAGAATCTGCTATCCAAGGGAGTGGTTTAAATACCCCCGGGAGGTTGTAGAAGGTAACGGGAACCACCAAGAACTTCATGCAATAAACCACAGGACAAGGGAACGAGATCTGTGATGCATGAATGCCTACGCCAGTTGGCAGGGCACATGATGAAGATGATCTGTGGCTTAGGTGTTAGGGACATGATTCCTAATTCTGAGTTACCTGGTTTGATCCATGTTACAGGTAATATGGAAGCAAACTGCTTTGTGCTGATTCCAAGAATGGCATTGAGAGCCAAACGTCCAGAAATCAGAGCCAAACCAATTAACTTAACATTTCCTAGTAAACCCACACAGCCAAAAAAAAAATTGTGGTGTAGGTTCTGCAATGTCCTGAAAGGTTACGCAACTAACATTTTTCAAAAATCCATTAACTGATGTTTTGTTTCATGTAAGATGTTCTATTTCTGGTTTTGGTGGAAGCAATAGTTTCCCAAAATCCAGAAAAAGAGGGCAGATAAAAAGCTAATCTTTAATTTTTATACGGTTACACTGGAGTATGCTGGGGCTAAAACTATGTTCAGCTGAATAATAATTGTCAAAGTAATATTTTCTTTTGTTACTTCTTTATTTCTTAGTTTTCTCCAACCTTTCCCTGGTGGTTAGCAAGCATACATGCCAGATCACCAGTTTCCAAAGTGAATATGTTACAGTGTTCACACATTTTCCCTAAAATGTTGTGATAGTTTATCTTTGGTGTTAACAATAAACTTACCTTTAGTACTCTTATAGCTGATCATTTTCTCATAGCTTACATTTAGTGTTCAGGCAGCTTACCCTTAGTGTTGAGACAGCTTACCCTTAGTGTTGAGACAGCTTACCCTTAGTGTTCAGGCAGCTTACCATTAGTGTTCAGGTAGCTTACCCTTAGTGTTCAGGTAGCTTACCCTTAGTGTTCAGGTAGCTTACCCTTAGTGTTCAGGTAGCTTACCCTTAGTGTTCAGGTAGCTTACCCTTAGTGTTCAGGTAGCTAACCCTTAGTGTTCAGGTAGCTTACCCTTAGTGTTCAGGTAGCTAACCCTTAGTGTTCAGGTAGCTAACCCTTAGTGTTCAGGTAGCTAACCCTTAGTGTTCAGGTAGCTAACCCTTAGTGTTCAGGTAGCTAACCCTTAGTGTTCAGGTAGCTAACCCTTAGTGTTCAGACAGCTTACCCTTAGTGTTCAGGTAGCTTACCTTTAGTGTTCAGGTAGCTAACCCTTAGTGTTCAGGTAGCTAACCCTTAGTGTTCAGGTAGCTAACCCTTAGTGTTCAGGCAGCTAACCCTTAGTGTTCAGGTAGCTTACCTTTAGTGTTCAGGTAGCTAACCCTTAGTGTTCAGGTAGCTAACCCTTAGTGTTCAGGTAGCTAACCCTTAGTGTTCAGACAGCTTACCCTTAGTGTTCAGGTAGCTAACCCTTAGTGTTCAGGTAGCTAACCCTTAGTGTTCAGACAGCTTACCCTTAGTGTTCAGGTAGCTAACCCTTAGTGTTCAGACAGCTTACCCTTAGTGTTCAGGTAGCTAACCCTTAGTGTTCAGGTAGCTAACCCTTAGTGTTCAGGTAGCTAACCCTTAGTGTTCAGGTAGCTAACCCTTAGTGTTCAGACAGCTTACCCTTAGTGTTCAGGTAGCTTACCCTTAGTGTTCAGGTAGCTAACCCTTAGTGTTCAGACAGCTTACCCTTAGTGTTCAGGTAGCTAACCCTTAGTGTTCAGGTAGCTTACCCTTAGTGTTCAGGTAGCTTACCTTTAGTGTTCAGGTAGCTAACCCTTAGTGTTCAGGTAGCTAACCCTTAGTGTTCAGGTAGCTAACCCTTAGTGTTCAGACAGCTTACCCTTAGTGTTCAGGTAGCTAACCCTTAGTGTTCAGGTAGCTAACCCTTAGTGTTCAGACAGCTTACCCTTAGTGTTCAGGTAGCTAACCCTTAGTGTTCAGACAGCTTACCCTTAGTGTTCAGGTAGCTAACCCTTAGTGTTCAGACAGCTAACCCTTAGTGTTCAGGCAGCTTACCCTTAGTGTTCAGACAGCTAACCCTTAGTGTTCAGACAGCTAACCCTTAGTGTTGAGACAGCTTACCCTTAGTGTTCAGACAGCTAACCCTTAGTGTTCAGACAGCTAACCCTTAGTGTTGAGACAGCTTACCCTTAGTGTTCAGGCAGCTTACCCTTAGTGTTCAGGTAGCTTACCCTTAGTGTTCAGATAGCTTACCCTTAGTGTTCAGACAGCTTACCCTTAGTGTTCAGGTAGCTAACCCTTAGTGTTCAGACAGCTTACCCTTAGTGTTCAGGTAGCTTACCTTTAGTGTTCAGGTAGCTAACCCTTAGTGTTCAGGTAGCTAACCCTTAGTGTTCAGGTAGCTTACCCTTAGTGTTCAGGTAGCTTACCCTTAGTGTTCAGTTAGCTAACCCTTAGTGTTCAGGTAGCTTACCCTTAGTGTTCAGGTAGCTAACCCTTAGTGTTCAGGCAGCTTACCCTTAGTGTTCAGGTAGCTTACCCTTAGTGTTCAGTTAGCTTACCCTTAGTGTTCAGGCAGCTTACCCTTAGTGTTCAGGCAGCTTACCCTTAGTGTTCAGGTAGCTTACCATTAGTGTTCAGACAGCTAACCCTTAGTGTTCAGGTAGCTTACCCTTAGTGTTCAGGAAGCTTACCCTTAGTGTTCAGACAGCTTACCCTTAGTGTTCAGGCAGCTAACCCTTAGTGTTCAGATAGCTAACCCTTAGTGTTCAGGAAGTTTAACCTTAGTGTTCAGGTAGCTTACCCTTAGTGTTCAGGCAGCTTACCCTTTGTGTTCAGGAAGCTTACCCTTTGTGTTCAGACAGCTTACCCTTTGTGTTCAGAAAGCTTACCCTTAGTGTTCAGGCAGCTTTCCCTTAGTGTTCAGATAGCTTACATTTAGTGTTCAGATAGCTTACATTTAGTGTTCAGATAGCTTACATTTTGTGTTCTGACAGCATACCCTTAGTGTTCAGATAGCTTACATTTAGTGTTCAGATAGCTCACATTTAGTGTTCAGATAGCTCACATTTAGTGTTCAGATAGCTTACATTTAGTGTTCAGATAGCTTACATTTAGTGTATAGACAGCTTACATTTAGTGTTCAGAGAGCTTACATTTAGTATTCAGAGAGCTTACATTTAGTGTTCAGACAGCTTACCTTTAGTGTTCAGATAGCTTACATTTAGTGTTCAGATAGCTTACCCTTTAGTGTTCAGACAGCTTACATTTAGTGTTCCTACAGCTTACCTTTAGTGTTTAGATACCTTACTTCTAGTGTTCAGACAGCATATTTTCAGTGGTCAGACAGCGTACCTTCAGTGGTCAGACAACTTACCTTTAGTGCTGAGTGCAGCTGAGTTAAAAGCCAACATCACAGCACTTGGGACATCCCAGGTTGCTGACTGACAGCTTACTTTACGTGCTGCTAGCTTACCTTTAGCATTGTTAGCTCATCTTTAGTATTCTGAGAACTTACCTTAAGTGTTCAGACAATTTGCCTTCAGTTTTCTCTGTCACCATACCTTCAGTGTTCTGACAATTTACCTTAAGTATTCTCTGTCAACATACCTTAAGTGTTCTGACAATTTACCTTCAGTATTCTCTGTCACCATACCTAAAGTGTTCTGACAAGTTACCTTCAATATTCTCTGTCACCATACCTTAAGTGTTCTGACAATTTACCTTTAGTATTCTCTGTCACCATACCTTAAGTGTTCTGACAATTTACCTTAAGTATTCTCTGTCACCATACCTTAAGTGTTCTGACTATTTACCTTTAGTATTCTCTGTCACCATACCTTAAGTGTTCTGACAATTTACCTTCAGTATTCTCTGTCACCATACCTTAAGTGTTCTGACAATTTACCTTTAGTATTCTCTGTCACCATACCTTAAGTGTTCTGACAATTTACCTTTAGTATTCTCTGTCACCATACCTTAAGTGTTCTGACAATTTACCTTTAGTATTCTCTGTCACCATACCTTCAGTGTTCTGACAATTTACCTTTAGTATTCTCTGTCACCATACCTTAAGTGTTCTGACAATTTACCTTCAGTATTCTCTGTCACCATACCTTAAGTGTTCTGACAATTTACCTTTAGTATTCTCTGTCACCATACCTTCAGTGTTCTGACAATTTACCTTTAGTATTCTCTGTCACCATACCTTAAGTGTTCTGACAATTTACCTTTAGTATTCTCTGTCACCATACCTTAAGTGTTCTGATATGATCCTCCAGTGCAGTTCTCTGTCCCTCACTTTCATCCACCTTTGCTTTCATTGTGGCTATTTCTCCAGCCTAAAAACAAATGAAGAAGCAAGAACACAGGCTGAATACATATCGTTAAAATTACATTTTATTTTGCCCATATTTTATGGGGTTTATGAGGGACACAAAGGAGTGCTAATACAGTAAGCACTCATTAACACAAACTCCATAGGATGAAAATAAAAGGAGTTTACATTAACCTAAATCTGTGGTAAATTTCAATGTTCCAATTGACAAATAATCATGTGCCATCTTCACACTAAAGAGACCTTAATATCCACTATAATGTGAATCTGGCGTACTACTGTCTAAAAAGCAGTTCTGTCAATACTGAACACATACACGAGGCATCAACTCTTTCTCATTCTGTGAAATTAATGCAACCAGTAGTGTGCTCCTTTTTCATAAAATTATTTGCTTCATCACAAATCACTGTCACTTTGAAAAAAAAAAAAAAGAAATCACTTTAAATAAAATTGAAGTATTTTTTAAAATCTGGTACAGCTAACCCATGGAACAAGTGAAAGCTTGAACATCCACATTTCTGGCAATCTCATTTGCTTTTGACTGAATTATAGGTCCACTAATAGCTAGACAGGAAGTGTGCATATGGTTGAACCATTCTAGAACTAACATGTTGATATCTTCCTACTCAGCACTACAAAGTTGCTTAGAGTTGTTCTCGCAACCTGATGCACAAGCATTATGAATTTGTTCACAATTTTCAAGTGTTGTAGATAAGGTAGACTTGGTCTTTACATACTGTTCAATAACTGTTATTTTCTTCAATGCTTCCTCTAGGAATTTTAATTTTGTGTGCAGATCTGTGCCTGTCTGCTTCCTGTTAAGCAACTGCATCAAGTAAAGTCAAGTTATTGTTAAAAACAAGGACTCCTAGTTTAAGCACCCGAATAATGTGAAATTAAACATTCTGCCAATACTTGTGACTAAACCGTGGACATATGTTTTGGTAGAAGAGTGCACATACTATGTTATCATTTCATGTTTGTGTATTTATGTAGGTGTATATATATATATATATTATATATATATCCTATATATAATATATATATACTAAAATATATATATATATATATATATATATATATATATATATATATATATATATATATATATATGAGGGAAATAAGGGGAGTAGGACAGAAAAAACAGAGAAAGAGAGAGAGTATTTTTAAAATTTTTTAAAGGATAAAAAGTGGGTTCAATGCTTATATAACATTCTGCATGTTTTACCCTCTCTCTCCATTTATACATTTTTAAATTAATATACTAAGAAAGAGACACAGAAAGAAAGAAAAAGAGACAAAGTGAGAAGAAGAAAGAGATACAGAGAGAGGAAAATATAGGCAAGAAAACAGAGGCAAACACACATATACATATGCACAAGAGCATACACTGACTCAGTGAATGCCAAATTAAAAGCTGAAACAGGAGCTCCAGAAGAATGTTGAAATGAGAACATCCAATGTAACCCCATCTTACACAAACATCACAGGTGTGATCAAAAGAAAATTAAGACTTCAGCTTAAAAGATGTTATATTTCTGGGTCTTACCAACAGAGCAGCTTTAGATTCGACTTTCTCTTTGTCTGACTTGAGACTCTCCAGCTGCAAGTTGAGCTGTGTAACCTTCTGCTCACTGTGAAACATCTCTGAAGCCACTGTAAGGGTCAACAAAGACGATTTGGAGATGACATGTTTTTTTATTCAAGGATTACTTTCATTGTATGCAAATATCTCCATCATGTCTGAAGAGAACTGTGCAAAACTCATGGGAATGGCTAGACGGACATACAGTCAAACTGTTACTGGTAGTATTTGAACTGAAACTCTGCATTTGCTGCTGATCATAGGAATGGAGCATTTATGGGAATGTCCTAAGTGTTATGATGTTGGTTCTTAACTCATAACAAATTTCTCCACAAGTATTCCTGTCTTCTCCCTTAGATCAGACAAGAAGAAATTTACCTGATTACTGATTTTAGAACCAAAATCATGGAATATCAGGCAAACTCACAAACGACATGTTTCCCTGCAGCAAATGCCTGAAAGGGGTAGATGTAGACTGATTCAGCAGCACACTGGATCTACACATATCACAGTGCATTTGTTGAGACAGCAGGCTGTCAATCTTTCCACAAGGGACTGTGATGAACATTCTGTGTGTTTTTCGTTGGCACAGGAGCGGAGCAACTATGGGGGTGACCCATTTGTTATGAAGCTGAAACTAACATTCCCATCAACATTACAACACAACCTTCCTCTTCCCCTTCCTGAGTGGTTGGATTTATATTTCACTCCAAATGCTTACAACCATATGTGTTGTTCATTTAATATTATGTCTTCCATCAGTAGGTATTCAACTATTGTGTTCAACATATCTGACTTATCCATTATAAGTGTTCTTACTGATGCCAATTGTGAAGCCCCCCCCAAAAATAGTACTTCTCGTCATTTTTAGGATGAAATTTTTCGTTATTTGAAGCCCTACTCTGGCTTTTGCCAGGGGCCGCAATATAGCCTGGCCATAAATATGGCCTAAAGGCTGAGCGCAAATGCAGATTTGTTTATGCCAGAATTATACACTAGACAACATGTCTAACGATAGTGTTTGAACTGTAAGAATTCGCTAAAAGGTTGATGTCTAAGCATAGTTGTAAAATTCAGGTAAATATGAATATAGATTTAAAAAACAAACATGCCACTACAACATTAACTTTTTTATGTACAGAATACTTAAAATCTTTACAAATTAACACTGGATTTTGTTTCTACTTACACAAAGTTCTACTTTCTTCTGAGCCTCGAAGCTGAATCTGTAGCAACTCTAACTCCTTTCTCAGCTGCCAAAGATAAATTCATTTGATTTCATCAGAAATAAGAATTATTTTTGTAATGGTGATACAAGTATGCCAACAAGTAAACAAAGCTGATACTAACTAAGGTGATCAACTGTCAACTAGCAGGAAGCACATGCAAGAGCATGAGAAAAAATCAACAGGCATTGATTGGCATTCATAGACCAGTAACTGGTTGGAAACATAGTTACCTGTTTCTAAATTCATGGTAAAAGCAACTAAATACACAATGAACAAAAACTGTAATTTCAGTTGTCAACAGATAGAAATGACAAAAATGTTTTCTTTTCTTTTCTTCTGTCCCATAATCATGTGTGTTGGTTTTTGGCATGTCATGAAAGATACATCTGTAGTCTATGACTTCCTTTGTTCCATATCTTCAGTAATATGTGAGTGCATCACTTGCAAATTCTTTAATGTTACCTGCTCTTATTCTTGCCACTTGATTTCCATTATACACCACGGAACAGTTTTTGTGTGGCCAATTATCAAACCATTTTATTGTAATTAAAAAAAAACAAGTGAAGCTTGGCAGTCCATATGTTTCTATCCATCCACCAACAATGCTACATTTTGTTGGTGTATTTTTTGTGTTGTGGGAGCTATAATTAATTTAATATAGCTTTAGAGTGCAAAGGCATTAAACAGGCATCTGAGTGTAAATTTCTGGGTACAACATTCATCGAAGCTGGGGAAATGGATAAAGAAATTACCATCGGATGCAGTAAAGCCAACTACATATTGGGACAGCTAGTCCCCTTCTTACAGCATAAGACAATCCCAATCAGCAAAAAGAAACCAGTCATACAAAGCATATTGATTTTAACTCCATGCTACTAGTGCCTGACATGGTCACTCACAACAAAACATAAAAGAAACATTTATAACCACAAAAATAAGATGCCCGAGAAGGGTGCAGGAGTGACCAGAAGAGATAAAATCAGAAATTAGGTCATAAGAGAAAAGGTCGGTACAAATCAAATTCTAAATTACATACAAAGACAGCAGATCAAATGGTTTGGTCACTTAGAGAGAAAGCCTTGTGACAACATACCATGCAAGGCAAACATCGAAAGAGGAGATGGACATATAGCACAACACAGTAGAACAAGAACAAGATGGAAAGATATCATCAGAGAAACTCTATAACAGGCAGATGTTTATAGGGTGAGGCGGCAAAAGCACAAGAAGCAGAACAACAAAAGTGGTAAAAGGGGAAACAAAACAAAAAAGAAGCTTTATACAAAATGATGCAAGAATGTTTCTGTAATATATGAATGTCACAGTGATTTCAAGGAAATTTAAGGAGATTTAAATGAGGGAATGCAAAGGCTATTGTACGATGTAAAGAGGGATAACCAGCACATAACTTTGGAAGCCAGCATTTTCTGTGCTGATTTACGGAACTTCATGCAAAATTCATGCACCATGGATAATGGCCTATGCCTGCCTAAACAGAGAAGGCAGGGTATCTTGGAGCTGGTGGCCACCAAAGATGCAATGCCCAAAAAAAGCTACTAGTACATATCAATAACCCACTGAAAAATGAGTGATGTAGGCCAGCCAAGTCTCCTAAGAAGAAAAAGTGTGCATACTTCACAGAAAACACGAAACCGGATATAGTGATGGCAGTTTATATTTGCATTAAAAACATATTTAAATTACCGCCAACTTAATAATGTAGGTGGGCCGTATTGAATTCACTGCTATCTTTAAGAAAATTACATGGTCAGACTCCAATGTCTTTCATACTGTGACTCTACTGTCCTAAAACAAAAGAACAGTTTTTTCTAAACCTCACTCCACAGAAATTGAACCCTCACACTCAAGAATTATAAAATGTGATCACTAACTTTCAAGCCATATCTACCTTATACGCTCACAAAAAACTAAAATCGAGACACTATCTTACCTCTTGAATTGCTACTCCTGAGATTTCTCCATTGCTGAAAATTCAAGAGAAACCAAGCTTTAATTCATTTACAATAATAAAAAGCATCATATATAAAAGTAGAGCTTACATCTAAAACAGATACTGGGATAGGGATGAACTTCACTAAAGGGAATTAAAGTCCAGTTAATGACATTCACGGGGATGTAAAGTCCAGTTAAAAACACTACGCCAAAAATTTTTTTTTTAAATTTACATGGTTGTCATGGCAATAGCCGCAATCTCATGGGAAAAAACGTACTTAGAATCCTAAAATTTCAAAAACAAACATAAGTATTGAAAAATAGTTGATAGATTCATGACCTTTTATCATATTTAAATGTACAGGTGAAGTTTTTTTTACTTTAAACATGTTTTTAAATATTTTTCGTAGAATTTTAAAGTCTAGGTTTATTGAAAAAGTCAAAAGAATCCCGCATCATAAGAAAATAATCAAATTAAAAAAAAAAAAAAAAAAAACTTTCGAAGAACTATTTTTGAAAAGACCAGTAGATATAATATTGTTAAAGGAGTATCAATAATAAATTTTATGTTTCTAGTCTTTATATTAGCTGAGATTTTAGGATTTCACACACACAACAAACAGAAATATAGAGATGTGAGAAATCTGAATTTAAATTTTTTTTTTAATCTTAAAAAAGTGCATGGATTGGTTCCTTTAGTATTAACTTTTCAAAGCTAAATCGTTTACAGATGACATACATTTTGTGTGTAATCTATTCTAAAAATGCCCAAATTTACAAAAACTTAACATTGAAAAAGTGATATTTTTGTCATAAATTGGAATAAATGCTGTGTAGTGACCCCTTAATGACATTCACAGGGAAGTAAAGTCCAATTAATGACATTCACAGGGAAGTAGAGTCCAGTTAACGACATTCACAGGGAAGTAAAGTCCAGTTAATGACATTCACAGGGAAGTAAAGTCCAGTTAACGACATTCACAGGGAAGTAAAGTCCAGTTAATGACATTCACAGGGAAGTAAAGTCCAATTAATGACATTCATAGGGAAGTAAAGTCCAGTTAATGACATTCACAGGGAAGTAGAGTCCAGTTAATGACATTCACAGGGAAGTAAAGTCCAGTTAATGACATTCACAGGGAAGTAGAGTCCAGTTAATGACATTCACAGGGAAGTAAAGTCCAGTTAATGACATGCACAGGGAAGTAAAGTCCAATTAATGACATTCACAGGGAAGTAGAGTCCAGTTAATGACATTCACAGGGAAGTAGAGTCCAATTAATGACATTCACAGGGAAGTAGAGTCCAGTTAATGACATTCACAGGGAAGTAAAGTCCAGTTAATGACATTCACAGGGAAGTAAAGTCTAGTTAATGACATTCACAGGGAAGTAAAGTCCAGTTAATGACATTCACAGGGAAGTAAAGTCCAATTAATGACATTCACAGGGAAGTAAAGTCCAGTTAATGACATTCACAGGGAAGTAGAGTCCAGTTAATGACATTCACAGGGAAGTAAAGTCCAGTTAATGACATTCACAGGGAAGTAGAGTCCAGTTAATGACATTCACAGGGAAGTAAAGTCCAGTTAATGACATGCACAGGGAAGTAAAGTCCAATTAATGACATTCACAGGGAAGTAGAGTCCAGTTAATGACATTCACAGGGAAGTAGAGTCCAATTAATGACATTCACAGGGAAGTAGAGTCCAGTTAATGACATTCACAGGGAAGTAAAGTCCAGTTAATGACATTCACAGGGAAGTAAAGTCTAGTTAATGATATTCACAGGGAAGTAAAGTCTAGCAAATAACATCCAGACAAACCATGAAAGACTGGAACTATCAAGCTACACCTTTCTCAGCCAAACAATAATAGCAACTAACACACATGACATGCAAATCTGAACATTGTACAAATGAGACATAGCACAATATTACAGACAATAAATTGCACAACATGTTGTATATTTCCTTCTTGTTTAAATTTGCAACAGGCAAATGCTCCTTTGTTTATCTGTTGAAGACAGCAGTGTATATATATATATAAAATCCTCTTGGGGTGCACTGATATTGGTCTCAGTTTATCCGATCTCATTATACTTTGAGCTGCTGAGGTCTTCTTCTTCTCTGGGTTTCCCAGCTGCAAACTCCAGCAAAAATTTCTGGTTGTTAACCCACTTCTGTATTTTGGCACCGTTCCAGAACTTGAGATGGCGTGCTCACCCATGTTAAAGATCTGGAATCCCTCGCCTCTCAGGCAGATGCAGTCCAACTAAGAAGAAAACCCTTCATTAGTCAGCTGTTCAAACCTGCTTGTTGGAAGGCTTACGGTCTATTTATTTTTTCCCATTGAATAGAGCAAAGGAAGCCACACGGCCGTGTTGATGTTTAAACTTGAGCAGGAGGATGCCTGTTTGTGTGCTTCGCATATGGGGATTCCAGGGGATTCTATTATTCTCTTTGTCCATTGGTTACATCACCAGCCTCTTGTTTCCATTCCCACTTGGTCTATACAGCAGTGCCTGTTGTGATGCATGGTCTGTTGGAAGCTCAGTTGAAAGGCTGAACCGCCTGTTTTATAAGTTTGGTTTTGTCAACAAATATTTAAAAAAAAAAAATACAGAAAGTAAGGTGGAGGAGCTCACCTGACAAGAGGCAGCACTGGCATAGGAGAACTATCTCGATGCACAGTATCATAGTGGGACTGCAGATCTTCTGGTGATGCTAGAGACATCTTACACATTGGACACAAGAAACCCTCCTGAATGAAGGAAAGAACATTTATTTTTAAATTATAATGCTCTCATGCAAGAACTTGACAAGACCTATGCTCTTTTTCTTCTTCTTCTTCAATGTACTGCTGAGCCCTTGAGGTTCACTGATGCAGATATCACCCGCCTCCACCCATCTCTCTGGTTGGCCATCTCTTTCCAGTTGGTGACACCAAGTGTTTGCCAGTCTGTCTGGACATTATCTCTCAATCCTCTTCTTGGTCTGCCTCATGGTCTATGACCATTCAGCTCCCTTGTGTATACAGTTCAACCTCTGTCATCTGACATTCTCTCAAAATGCCCCAGAATTTCAGTCGATTAGATCTCATGATGCCAATTATCAATGGTGATTTAAACAGATTATGAATATCATTGTTGCTTCTCACTCTCCATTCCCCACAGTCTGTATCTTAGATGGGTCCAAAGATTCGTCATGAGACTGGTTTTGAAAATCTGTAATAAGGCTTCATGTCTTTTAGTTGTGCTCCAAGTTTCAGAGCCACATAAAACGACTGGTCTTATCAATGTTTTATATATTTTTGACCTTGGTGTTGCGAGATAGAGACTTTGACTTGAGCAGATGTTGAAGGGCATGGTATGCTTCATTTCCAGATTGTATTTCTTCTCTCAGCATGTTGGAGCACTTGATGTATTCTATCTTATCTTAATTGATAACTAGTCCCATTTTGTGAGCTGCTTCTTTTAACAGAGTCAGTGTTTTTACAGTCTCTATCTTATTGTCTCCAATGATATCAATGACACCCCTGAATGTCTCTTCAACTTGCCGCGGCAGGGGAGCTTGTGTTTCTCAATGACCCTGAGAGCTATGCCAGTGGTAGCGTAGCTACCAACAGGGCCTCCCAAGCCAGAGAAACGGAGAAGGGTAGAGAACAGACAAAGATACCCTGGTCCTCCAGGTTGGGGGTTGCAGCGTGGGGCCGACACCCCCACCTTTATAAAACTTCATTTCATCATGAAACAGATATCTAAGCCTCGATTTCAGACGGATTAAACATTAATTTTAGTTAAGATAATAGTTTAACCCACTGATGGTTGCGTGGATTTTTATCATGGTATGGGGCATCGCAGGTTGACACAGCCTAAAATGGGTACCAAGATGTCTGTCCTGGGGAAGAAAAGACGGTCGGCGTAATGCTGACCACATTACCCACCTAGTGCTGATTGGTCTGTACAAATATGGACGCTCCTCCCATATACCCGAAGCGCCTAAAGCGTAATAAGGGATCTTTACTTTTACTTAAGATAATAGTTGGAATACACAATGATTGTCATTAATTGTAGGATTGTGGATGATCTTAAAATCAGCTAACCAACCAATTAGTCAAGCAGCCAGACAACCAATCACACAGCCTGCCCCCCCCCCACCCCGGGCCAGTATGAAAAGTAGATCTCGAATATAATGTCTATTTCTCTGGCAGTTCTTTTGAACAGACTGCCGCTATACATCCACTTGGTCTCTTGCATCTTAAATTTCCTAGCAAAGTTTTTATAAAATAGTCGTCTTTCAATACACCAATATATCTGATCAGTCTCATATTTCTAAGCTTTTAAAAATTACATTTCCAGCCTCTACAGAACATCTGCATCTTTGGTTTCCATGAAAAACTAACTTTTCTTTTCTGTCTGTCCACATTCCTAAGGCCTCTATTCATTATCATTATCACTAAGTGATTGCTGTTAACATCATGGGGAGAAACATTATGTTTTCTAGCGCTCGATGGGTGAAACTGCTTATTATCATTCTGTTCAGATATATAATCTGGCCTATATTCAATTCTCTCATCACTTCTTAACTGTTCATTCTTCTGTACCATACAGCAGTGTTTATAAAATACAATAGATTTTTTATCCAGGAATTCTGGTGTTGAGGGTAATGAAAAAGCTGATAGATTAGCTGCTGCTGACCACCTAGGCAGTGAACTACTAAAGAGATGACATAAATACGAGTGACTGCATTCATGCTGATTGTAAGAAATACTAAATATAACACAAAATGTGACTGGAAAGCTCAACAGAGGGGATGGAAAAGATGCACACAATACAATTAAACGTTTCAACCGAAGTCAAAACTACTATATGATAAAGCAGATGAGATCAAGTGGACAGCACAGTGCACAAATATCCTGAAACTCTAAGCAGTGGGCAGGGGGGGAGGGTGTGAGCAAGCAGGGATTCTGGACGATATTCAGCGAAGGGGGAAAACATTGGTGGAGTTTTAGTGAGACTGGCACTATCTGCATGGGGTCTCTTTATGGAAGGAGAAGGAGCAGATGTGGCAATGTCCTGAATGCAGTGATGTTAATTCTTGATTCATTCATTCAGTAACAAAATACAAAACTTGCCTAGGCTATAACTCAACTGTAACACATATTGAATACATCTGTTTACAATATTTCTATGGCTGTTCCATTCATCAACTAGCAGGTCCTTTGCAGAGCGTCGCTCTCATCATGGTCTGTCTGAAAGAAGCTCGGCCTTTCGCCAGTTCTCCCGCCTCATGTACTTTCATACTCAAGGAGTCACTTATATCTTGTGCCCATCCTCGTGTCGGCCGGCCCCTGCCCCTCTTTCCTGGTACCATGTCTTGTGCTATAGTTTTTTCCCAATCCGTCGTGGCGCTTGATTTGACCAAAATATTTCAACTTCTGAGACAGGATGCTGTTTATTAGCCAATCTTCCTTGATGTTCAGATCTTTCAAGATGTCAGTATTTCTCCTCTTCTTTGTCCAAGATATTCTGAGAATCTTTCTATAGCATTGGCTTTTCCATTACATAAGTATAATAGAGTGCTGAACTACAAAGTCATAAGGAAACTATTATTGCTTAAATATTTCTGCTTTCATCCTGAGGTTGTTAAAGTTTCTGCTTTCATCCTGAGGTTGTTAACATTTCTGCCTTCATCCTGAGGTTGTTAAAGTTTCTGCTTTCATCCTGAGGTTGTTAACGTTTCTGCTTCCATCCTGAGGCTGTTTCATTTACAGATTTTGGCCCCAAAAATGTCACCTCATCATATAATGAAACTGGCTACTCACTCCCTGATCTTCTGTGACTGGTCCATCCTGGCCACCGTGCTGCTCTTCAAAGTGAGCTTGAACTGCCTCAGCAGACGCAAAGTTTTGTATACATACCGGACAAAGAAAACCCTGAAAATGGTAAGCAAATTAATACAGCATAAACAAAGCAGGCAGATTCTAATGAGGTTCTGTAAAGAATCTACAATAGAAACTCAAAAGTACTCTTCTAGCAGCACTATGTATGTATGTAAAGTAAAGGACCCTTTCCCACACTTTCAGGTGTATTGGGTATATAGACCTATATTTCACAATGGCACTTGGTGGGTGATGTGGTCAGTATCATGCCAGCCATCTTTACTTCCCAGGACTTTACCTGGTATCACTCAAGGCTGGATCAATCTGGGAGCAAAGGTCATTTTTTTGGAAAAAGTCTGGCACCCATCAAGACCCAAACCCACTATCTTCCAATCGGCAGCCAAGGGTCTATACGCTAGACCATGGCGGCTCCCACTATGTATGAGTAATCAACAATTAAATATCATCAACTGCCTCATCAAATGGCAAGGGTGATCATTGTTTCTCTGTATCTTGCAATCTCTCGCTATGTATCAATTTTTGTGACACCTCACCGGGCTATAACAAAAGGCTATCAAGATTCCTCTCTCATTTTCTTCCTAACTTGCTTTTCGTAAATCTTTCCAGCTGTCGTTAGACAACCATACACCCTATGCACTGTAAAATGGAAACAAATCAGGGGACGGTACAAATCCTTGTCGGACACCCTCTCTGCTCTGAAATATTTTTAAATAGTTGTTTTTTTCTTATAACTGTTGTTTGTTGGCAAAACATGTACTTTATAACCTGGAGATCATTCGCAATCATCACTGCCTTTATTTGAAGGTATTTACGTCAACTGTCCAGGGTATATGGTGTTGGTAATCATTTCTCTTCTCAGCCTTCTGTCCAGGGTATATGGTGTTGATAATCATTTCTCTCCTAATCCTTCTGTCACTTGCACTGTCAATTATTCTTCATACAGGTGCTCTTCCATGTCATAATGCCAAACTGTCCAAAATTTAATCAAACTTATAAGAGAGAAAGAAAATAATAGGTAAAAAAAATTTGAACCTTGTTAAGCATAGTTTCAAAGTGGAGAAAAGACAAAAACAATGACTAGTCCACACACAATTCTTCTTCTGCTTCTTATCATGCATTTGTCCTTCAAAGACTAGCTGATATGTTGCGTGTTGTAGTTGACACCAGGCTGGTGTATCTAGGTCTTTCAGGCCAACCAATCCCATCTCAGCATTTGCTTATTTAGTCACCTTTTATAACATGCTTGTTAAGAAACCACTGGGTCTAATAGTTTGTCCACAAATGGGCCCCGGATTCCCTCGGTCTGGTCTTGTCTAGTGTGTATGTGTGTGTGGGGGGAGGGTGTGTGTCTCCCAACAGAAGAAAGGGCCCTCTATTTTACAGAAAAAAGACAATAAGTAATTAGTGTAATATGATTATTATTAAAGTGTAGAGAATGAATATTTAAGTGGAAAGAATGAATGAATGAATAAATCAAGTTTAAAAAAAAATAAAAGAGACAAACTAGCTCTCAAGCCAACATCATTATGGAGGTAGAAATTGCTGGAGGGAGGGATGGTAATGTGTTGACACTGAATAAATAGAATAAAACTACAGGTATTTTATTTGTCTCTATTATCTTCATTGTGATACATAATATCTTTACAGTTTTACTGGGGCAGGAGAAAGGGAAAGGTAGAGAAGTTGGACATGGGAAGGGGCAGAAAAAGAAGGAAAGAGGAGGAGAAAGAGAAAGCAAGAGAAAAAAAGAGACAGACATAAAAAAAAAAAAAGAGAGAGAGAGAGAGAGAGAGAGAGAGAGAGAGAGAGAGAGAGAGAGAGAGAGAGAGAGAGAGAGAGAGAGAGAGAGAGAGAGAGAGATGGAAAGAGAGAGAGACAGAGAGACAGACAAACAGAAACAGAGAAGGCAATATTTGGTAACATTTCTGCTAGCTCATACACATATAAATATAGAATACATAAACAAAGACCATTTGTATGTTCTGATATTGATTAAACATACATTGTTAGTGCCAATATGTCATGGCAAACACATCAAAAGCCAAGCAAATATATCAGGTGAGCGATATATGGCAGAGTTTATCTATTACAAGTAAGACAAGTAAAGGTCTGTTTCATGTCAGTGATGCATCAGGCATACAATTCTATTTGTGTTTTGATAGATCAATCAGTCCTGGATGGATGATCTGATCATCATCATGCCCGGCACCTTTACTTCCCAGGAAATTACCTTCTACCCATTTTAGGCTGCATCAACCTGGGTTCCAAGGTCAATTGTGAAAAACTCCCCCAGATGCAGATTTGAACCTTAGACCTCCATCACACAACAAGAACTGCCATGGCAAAGGCGGCTTTTAGCAAGATGCAAACAATTCTCACCAATAAAAAGTTGTCACTTGCAGGGAGAAAAAAGAAGTGTTAAAGTGCTATGTAGAATCTGCGTTTTTATATGCATATGAAACATTGACAATAAGCAGTAAAAGTAAGTAAGTAAAGGGCCTTTTCCCACGCCTTTTAGGCGTATAGGGCATATAGGGCTAGACCTATATTTTTATAGACCAATCGGCACAAGATGGGTGATGTGTTCAGCATCACGCCGGCCACCCTTACTTCCCAGGACTGCACCCGGTACCCACTCAAGGCTGGGTCGACCTGGGAGCCACGGTCATTTTTTTTTAAAAGTCCGGCTCGACAATAAGCAGAAAAGCTGAAAAAACATTATGCCAGAGATGTGGTTTCTCAGAAGAATGCAAAGAATACTATGGAATGATAGAAAAAACAAAACGAAGCAGTCCTCACGAAGACAGATGAATGTCGTAAACTTGATAACAAATGCCAAGATTGATGGGAAGAGAGCAAGAGGAAGGCAAAGCCTGGATTACCTGGCCAAATGGATGGGGCGAAACAAAAACACTGAACTGATCAGAGATTCTGGTGATCATGTCAGATGAGGAAACATGACAGCCCATGCTCTACCGGCATGGCACATGATGGTGATGCTACAGTGGCTCCCTTCTTGTGTTTATTTATAAGTGTATCTATTCTCAGCCAAGTTTGTACTTATTATCACAACTGACCATCTGGTTTGAGAAATCAACTAACAGGATCTCATGTTCTGGGAGATATGCTATTTAAATAAGATGACACAATAGTTTGTTGTCAATAAACCAGGCCAATGATAAGTACACTCACTGACCTGTGAATAACTAGGTCACAGACTGTGGTATCTAACTGACAATAACTAGGTCACAGACTGTGGTATCTAACTGACAATAACTAGGTCACAGACTGTGGTATCTAACTGACAATAACTAGGTCACAGACTGTGGTATCTAACTGACAATAACTAGGTCACAGACTGTGGTATCTAACTGACAATAACTAGGTCACAGACTGTGGTATCTAACTGACAATAACTAGGTCACAGACTGTGGTATCTAACTGACAATAACTAGGTCACAGACTGTGGTATCTAACTGACAATAACTAGGTCACAGACTGTGGTATCTAACTGACACAGTCAACATTGGGATCAGTTACAATCTATACAATGTGCTGAAAAAAGTCTATGTAGGATAGTGGAAATATTGTGACTATAATTCATGCATTTTGAGGAGTAATTATCTCATACAGTTTAGAATGGCATCACATTTAGTCTTCCCGTTTTGCCCTTTATCTCCAACGGAGCATAGGGGCTCAACGCCTGATATCAAACCACTCTATCCTTTACTATTATGCGTAGCTCATCATATGTCCTACCCATCTTAGTCTCTCCACTCTCTAATTCAATCTCTAATGTGTTGTTGGTCTGTCTTTATTCTTTTTACCCAGTGGGCTTTAATGCAAGGACATTCTAGTTTCACTATTGTCAAGTTTTCTCAATGTGTGTCCTATCCAGTGTCACCATCTCTTCCTCACCTATTGATTCACTTGGATTTGTTATCTTTTCACATTCAAAGTCACTGCACCTTGAGCAATCCCAGTGCATTCAGCCCTCTAAAGCAGCAGCCACTCCAAGCTACCTCTACTGGTTGTTCCCAAGAGGGGTTGGTTATAATGTCTCCTATCTCAGTCTTGAAGACTTTATCAACACGTTTCACCATGCTTTACTCCCCCCCACCCATGTGCCAACAGACGAACTAAGCAACAATTAGACCAGACTGGCTCTTGCTTGCTTCTACAGTCCACACATTTATTATGTACAGGAGAATGACACAACAAAGTCCACATCCAAATAGATTCATAAAAAAAAAAAAAGACCACAAAACAAAAGCGGGCACAAATAATGACTTTAGAGGGAAAAAAAGAGGTGGGGTCTTTTCTAATGAGCAGAAATACAGATGGTTTCAGTTCTCTGCAAGTGTTGGAGATTCTATAAAACAAACTAATGAGATTATGATATTTTATAACACATTCGAATCTACATACTATCAGAAAAACAACAACAACAAGTGGGTTCCAGAGCAAAGACATTCTAATTACACTGTATATTGTTCTCAGGTTTTATTTGCTCCCAAAAGCTCTACATTAGTGATTCTATCATACCACTTAATCCCCTATACTCTGCGTAGGCACCAGTTAATGGATGTCTGTAGTTTATTAGTAATTGCCTTAGTTGTTCTCAATGTTTCCGCACCATACCACATTACTGATTTGACATTAGCATAACAATTTTTAGTTTAGCATTAGTTTAGTTTTTTTTTCAACCTCACAAATTTCCTAACGCTATGAATGCACTCTTGTGTTATTGTATTCAGATTTTAATATCTCAATCAGTTGCCCTATCTTTATATACATTAATGCCCAAAAAGGTGAATGACTCCACATCTTGGAGTGGGATATCATTAAGAGAAGCCATTGTACTATTTGCTTGGTTTATTCTTATTATCTTTCTCTTAGGGATTTTCAGACTTAGTTGTTGTGATCTCGCCTCGAGCATATTTCATTTATCTTGCATCTGATTCCGCGAGTAGGACAGAAGAGAAAAATTATCCGCACAATCCAGTTCATCAAGCTGTTTGGAAGGGGTCCACTGAATTCCATTCCTGGCGTAAGCAGTTGCTGTCTTCATAATCTAGTCCATTGCCAGTAGAAACAGGTGAGGAGATAAAAGACATCTCTGTGACACATGTGTTCTTATTTCAAATGCCTCGGTTAGCTTTCCTTCCTCAAGAACTTGATATTTTCTGTCTTTACATGTTGCTTTTACCAAGTAAATCTACAACAGTGAGAATGTGATAAATAAATCCAACATTTAGCCACTGCAGCAAATACATAAAGAAAACTGCTTTTAGCTATAATATACAAATATCCATATGAATTATATTTGCTACCAATAACGAAACACACAAAGAAACTAAAGCAAGTTTTAAAAGTTGGATACATATTAGGCAGAAATATATGGCCGAAAAAGCTTTAAGTTAGCAGAAAAAACCAAAGCCTTTATAGTGTTATAGCAATTAACAGTGTTGGCTCTTTTATGACCAGTTCTGTAATAAGAAGTCCTCTACACTTAGAGTTAATGTATCACCTGAGCTTCATCAATACCATTGGTGCTAGAACTGTTAGCAGGCAGACCTGAAGTAGCATTTCTGCCTGTGCTTGCAGAGGGCTGAGGATTAATTTGGTGAACACATAATCATTATATGACCTTCATTTGATGCTAACTTTTATTTGTTACACAAGGGAAGGAAGAGTTTAAGGCAAAGCGAGCAAGACTAATAAAAGTGGGAGGACAACAACAAGGGATGAACAAACAGTAGTCTCAGTGTGTGTACAAACAAAAGTCAGAGCCTGTTGGAGATTTAGTGCAGCCAACCTTCAATGTGGAGATGGCACCTGATTGATTGATTTTATGGTTTTCTAATAATGACATCTAGGAAATCAGCAGACTGTAACTTGTAATATCCTCCACACTTTAGCTGTGTAATTTAAATATTAGATCTTTTAATATACTTTCACACTTTAGTTATGTAATTTATATATTGTAGCTTTTAATATCCTTCCACACTTTAGGCATGTAACTGATATATTGGATCTTTTAATATACTTCCCCACATCATTTAATTTTATGTAATTTATATAATCATCATCACCATCAAGTGCCTTGCTGACTGGCATGGCGATCATGCCTCCCCATAGTCGGTAATTTGCGACTGCATGTATCAGTTCATTTGTTGACACCACTCCATGCCATGCCTTCTCATGCTGTCTTCCTTTATTTCTCTTTCCACAGATCTTTCCAGTCACAACATGTTCCAGTTTCCTTCTCCTAATAACATGACCAAAAAATTATGACTTTCTGATGTTTGTGATTAGTTGTTTTCAAGCCCTTGCCTCTTTCAGAACATCTAGGTTGCTCTTTTTGGCCATCCAGGGAATTCTAAGGATTCTTCTGTAACATTACCTCTGAGTCATCAACATCGGAAAACGCAATGATCTTTGATTATGTTGTATACAAGGGGGTTTCAACATAAACATGAAACAGCGGTGGTGGCACTGGATTTTTAAGATGCATATAACAGATTTAGATAAGACATTTTACTGAACACACTTGTAGATAGGGAGGTCAGTCACTGGATTGACAACTGAATTGCAGCAATCCTGTATGAACGGCAGACTGGTTTTCACCTAAGCTCGTGGAGCTCTGAACCCTGTAGTATCGCAATCGCCTGGTTCCGCCATTTCCCCAGTGCTTTTCAATGTATACACAAGCAGGATAGCGGCAATAGAGACAGTGTGTATAAAGAGAATCTCAACTTTTTCTGACAATGTTTTAGTCTACATACAGGGGAGAACTAGAAAAGAAATATCTAGAGAACTGCAGTTCACGGTAGATAAATTCGGTGAACAGTGTGAGGAAAACGGCTCAGTCATCAAACCAGATAATGCGGCCGTATTGTAATGTTCTTTTTAAAAAAAAAGAATTGTTAGAGATGTGTTGCTGCACATAACAATTAATGACAGTAATATAAAGAGAGATAATTCACTAAAATATCTAGGAAATTACTTCTAACAGGAGTCTTGTCTTTCAAATATCATGTGGAGGAGGTAGTTTTAAAGATAGGGAAAGGATTCAATGCTTTGAAAGTGATGGCATCAGTGGACATGGAACCAAAAAAATGCTTTTTACACTCTACCAGCAACAGATTATTTCATTGATGGGAGTGTGGTTTAAGACTGCTAAAATTATCTCATGCCCAAATAGAGATGTAGGACTGCATACAAAATGAAGTCACGGGAGTGATTTTGAGGGGTGTTCATGAGACACGCCTATTGTGTGCACGTGGCACATACTTGCATTACCATCCCTATATGAGAGACACAAGGTTTTACAGGCCAAAATGTACCTTAAAGTCGCAATGGACTGGAAAACACCTTCTGCATGAGGCCTAAGGGGGTAGCAAGGGACAACGGCTGAAAAGAGGTGGCTCAGAATTGTTGGTGCTACTGACAAGAAAGCTCGTGGTGAAGAATGGATTACAGTATGGCCCAGCAAAATAGACTTGCTCAGAGTGATAGTCACCCTGGGCTAAGGATGCCGAAAATGGATAGCTGGTGAAACAGAGTAGTGGTGCAAGAGCTGATCAATGATAATTCACACCCAGGTGACGTCATATATATACAGAGGGGTCTGTGGTGAGGGGTAAAAAGAGTGGTTGAGGTTTTACTGCAAAGGTGAATGGACACTGCTTCTGGTAATCTGGTAATCCTAGTTTCAGCTTCATAGCAAACGGGTCACACCACAGATGCTCCGCTCCTGTGCCAACGAAAAATAAACGCAGCTCACAGTGTCACGCCATGCACTCAACTCAGAAGCTGGGCGACACTGCTTGAAACCACCAAACCTTGCTACATCCAGTATGAAAATGGAGGTGGAGGCAGTAACGGCAGCTTTTTGATGGCTTAAGAACAGCAGAGCCTAATATGCATGTGATTGTAACAGACTCACAGAGCATGCTTCAGAAAACTGAAACTGTTGCTCTGCGATCAGAGTGGCTTGCACAACTTGACAAGACCCAGACCAAGAGCACATCATGGAATTTCTGTCCAGGCTATTCAGGTGTACGAGGTAACGAGCAGGCTGACAGATTAGCTGCTGCCTATCCTCTAGGTGGTGAGCTACTATATGATAAAGCGGATGTGGTTGGCGCTTCATGGGATCAAATGGACAGTGCATAAGAACAGATATGGAATCCATACACTGAAAGACTAATTCAACCTGGGAGTGAGTAGAGGCTCTGGAAGATTTTCAACATTAGAAGAGAACGGACAGAGGCGGACTTTTAATCAGGTTGCTATTGGTACTATCAGCTCGTACTATTAACTTCGCTGGTTACTGAACAAAGGGACGGAGCATGTGTGGGAATGTCCTGAGAGCACTGATGTCAATTCTTGATTCATTCTTTCATTCTGAGGTCTCAAAAAATTGTTTGGCTAGTTTATTAATTGTCCAGTATTCATTGAATCAATATAGCATGCAAGAATTCTTTTCCTAACCTCCAATGACATGGATTTATTTGAAAAAATGTTCTTCATTTTAAGAAAAAGCAGTTTGGGCCTGTCCTATTCTGTTCTTTATCTCTGTGATACATCTTCCATCGGATGTTATCCATGTGCCTGGATACTTCAACTTCTGTACTAGTCCTAAAATAACACCTCAGCTTTTTACTACACATTTAGGCAGTTTTTTTTCTTGTATATCACTATTGCTTCTGTCTTTCCATTATTCAAACTAGGGCCCATTTTATCACTTTCTTCCGCAACTAAATCTATCAATCCTTGCAGTTTTTTTCTGACTTGTTGCTATCAAGACAGTGTCATTAGCCTAACATAAGTTGTTTACGTTATGACCACCAACCACAATTCCTGGCATATCAATGATAAATTTAAGTATATATATTCACTGTATATTGAAAATAAATCAGGTGATAGAAAATTTGTATATAATACATCTTTTAATATAATTCCACACTTCAGTTATGCAAATTAAATATTGTATTTTAAAAAAAAGAAACCAACAGTCTGCATACAAGTAAGCCAGATCTGTAAAACAATGTGCATATAAAAATCAAGTTTTGGAACATGACTTAAGTCCAGAAGTGGACGACAACTAGAATTTTCCGTTTGAGCTAAAAAGAAGAAGAAATACAACAAATGCGTATTTTTACACTAATCAAGAAGGTTCATGAGTGACATCCACTAATTAGTAATTAAGTAAAGACAATATTTATCATATCCTTCTAAGTACACACACGCAAATGTAAAACACACACAAATGTCCACTAACAAGCTGAGGGTTGGAAAAAACAAGCTGCTCACAGGAAACCAATAAGCAGGCAAAGAAGAGTGGTCATACAACATACATAATTCTCAATGCAAACAATGAACATACAATTTAAATTAGTCAAGAATACAAGAATGTGAATATTTATAGTTTTACAGTTCACAGTGAACAGCACAAAAAGACACATGCTATGATGCCTTCTAGACCATTCATAGGCGCTATCACATATTAATCTTAATGTAAGTTTTATACATTTATCTAAGAACTATAGATGATAAATCACATGTATAGCTTTAAAATATATTTAAAAACTGACACTTCTGGTTGGTCCAAATACCTGAAAAAGGTCTCATTATCAACTTTCTACAGTTGCCTGTTTAGGATACGCACAGCTAACAGCGCTAGTTTCCTTTTTTTTTTTTTGCACATGCAACTATTTAGGAAATAGCACTTAGGGGGGTCTCCTTGTAAAAATGATTTTCAAAATAGAAATTCTGACATAATATTTCCCCACTGGCCATAGGGTTACCAAGCAACTGCGTCATGGGGTCAAAAAATATCATGCTGTAATTTCTTTTTAAACTCAAGAATACGTACATCAGTTCATTCACTGCTGCATTCATGTTTATTGATTATTCTGCTTTACATTAACGCATTTGTTGGATTTTTAGTCCACAAACTGACTTGCTTGTTATTTCTGTTTGGTTATTATGTCATTTTTTTTCTTTTTAAAAATGTTTAAATGTTTTCAGGAATTTCCTAAATATGTAACCTGCGGGACCTTGGCATTGTTTTCACTAGGTCACTGGGGTGAAAGGGTTAAAATTGGATTTGCCAACTTCTTCTTCTGCAGGTGATTCCCTAATAGAGCACAGACGTTCGTCAAAGGAATGTCAACTTATCCTATCCTTTGCTATCGCGGGCAGCTCACCCCATGCCCTACTCATCTTCACTCCCTAGCTTCCTTTATGTGTTTTTGTCTGCTTTTATTTGAAGTCAAAATGGGTTCCAGTTTAATGACATCCTATCTATCCACTATACAGATTTTCTCAATGTATCCCTATCCAAAAACAAGTTGTTCTCCTCTTGATTGACATTACCGCTTTGAAGGAACTTAAAATGATAACATTTTCAAAGACTGTATATTTCAACAGTTCAGCAGATGCTAAACAAATATTTTTATCCGCTGTTCATCTGTACAGAAGTTTTATTTTATTTTAAATCCTTGCCTCTCAGGCAGATGTACTCAAGACTTTGAAGGAAGCTCCCAATTAGTCGACTCTTATGACAGACTTGTTAGAAAGACAGTGAATCTTTTCTTGTCTTCCCCAAAATGGAGCCCAAGAGCCACACAGGGAACTGCTATTTGTTCTAATCTTTTTTATAGTTATTATCTTGAAGTAACTGTTAAATTAAATTTAATGTAATTTTTCTTATGATTATAGGATATATGCTGTTTGTTTTGCTGTGACATCATGACCCATTATGACATATACCAGAGCTATTCAGCTAAGTTTATTCAGTGTACAAAATGATGAAAACTGGGCATTATCACGGGCCAGAGCCCTAGCATGGAAAGATAAAAATAAAATACAAGTGGCAACACTGAATCATGGGCCATTTCCTAGGTCTCTCGTGAGCCACCACTTCCTAGGTATCTGTGGGCCACTAGTTAGTAGTTGAACAGCCCTAATAAACACCATCAATGGGTGAATTATATTAGGTTAGTGTTATTGTTAAGAAAAGTTATTTAAAAAAAAAACGTTTACACTTCAAATCTTTTTTACGATATTAAATCCCCTAAGAAGTATCAATTCAGGCACTTGTAACCAATGACTACAGTGGAGTAGCCCTACTATCCTAGATGGTTAGCAAGTAATGTGCTGTAATTAATTAAGTGATTGTTTAAAAAATAAAATAATCAACAGACTGGAATAGACCAGCTACAAATGTGACATAACAAATAATTTATGAGATCACTGTATTACTGGATTATTATTGTTTTTCAATCCAGAATATAAGAAAATTAAACTAGTTTTTTTTTTTTTTTTGGGGGGGGGGGGGGGGGGGGTGTGATAAATCATATTTTTTTAAACAGTGACTATGTGAAGACAATCAATAAGTCTTAGTTAAACATTTGAATTGGAAATGTGGTAAACGATGTAATTCATTATATATATATATATATATATATATATATATATATATATATATATATATATATATATATATAATATAAAGTTGGAGATTGTGCCGTAGGCCGTAGGTGTTGTAAAGTTGTAAACAATAATATAAACTTGCCATGAACAAAAACTTGTATAAGTATAAGTAAAACTAAAACTAAAAAAAAACTAGTGGTGTCTGTATTATATATATATATATATATATATATATATATATATATATATATATATATATATATATATATATATATATATATAACGGATAACGTTATAAAGCAGTGCACAGTCTAACCTTGTCCTCCTTTTTCTTTCTAAGTCGGTTAAACATGATAGAAATGTAGCTTCTATCTAGAAAACAATAGAGAAAGTGGATTCCCCCAATGTTTCGCTGATGTACACCCAGCCGGAAGTATATTTGTAAGACCTCATTGTAACTTCTCTTTGGGAGAGATCAGACCTCATAAACAAGAAACCTGGCAATTAGCCGAACAGCAGCACCCTTTTTAAAAGGCTTTTACATCTCTCGGTCTGTCCAGACAACCGTGATATATAAATTTTTGTGTATGTGTTTGTTGAACACTGAATGTTGAACTAAGAATCAACATCACAGAACTCGGATATTCCCATAAGTGCCCCGTCCCCATCTTCAGCAGCAAGAGCGAAGAGTTTTAATTCCGATGGCACCAGTAACAATCCGACTGTATATCCGTCTCATCCTTTCCCTGAGTGGTGAGTGTCGGCCAGATCCGTTATTAACTCCAGAGCCACTCTTCTCAGACCGTAATGATCTATTTGGGCTTCCACACTGTTCACTCGCTCCCAGAGGGCCTTCACAACGCCTAGCTTGTCATACAATTCACCACCAAGTGGTGCAGAACCGGCCAGTCTGTCTGGCTGCCAGCGTTTCTGTGGTGTATATTTTACTTTTTTTGATCGGTCTTATGACTTGTAACCTGCTGTTATGTAGTAGGCTCTAGCTGCTCTCTTATTTTATTCCATTCTGACGAAACGACCACTCCATTTGATCATCTGATATTCTGTGAATCATTTACAGTATTCGTGCCTACCTTTATTCTTAGTTCTTTGACCGTTAAAGCTAATGTCCCAAGTTTCACGATAGATGGTAGAGACGTCAACAGAGAGAGCAAACTGAAGTATCTGGGAATTACATTTGACAGGAGCCTGTCATTTAAGGACCATGTGGAGAGTGTTGTGACGAGATGCCAAAAAGGACTTGGTGCACGTAAGACTATGGCTGCAATTGACATAGAGCAGAGAATGCTTTTCACACTATATCAGCACCTGATCCTGTCAGTGGTTGATCATGGCCTGGGACTGCTTACCGTCTCAAAGAGCCAGATGGACAAACAAGAGCGCATACAGAACGCAGCAATGTGAGTAATTCTGGGTTGCACCAGAGACACCTCAGTGGTGTGTATGTGATACATCCTTGGTTTGCCGACTATTGCAAGTAGGCACAAGGTGCTGCAGGTGAAGTCAAATCTTAGGGTAGTTGCAGACCACCCTTTGCACGAAGCTCTGGGTGCAGTTAAGGGTCAGCAGCTGATAAGAGGGAAGTCATGGGTGGCTCAGGCAAAGGACACCAGACGGGGTTAGTGCCTTGTGGGAGAGCTTGTACAGCAGATTGATCACCACAGTGTGGTGAGATTGATGCAGTTGGGGGAGACGAGATGTTCTGGCAGATGCTCGAGGCTCAGAGGAAAGGCAAGACGGACGTTTAATCAGAATGCTACTGGCACCATTACCACGAGTTGTATATCCTTTATAGTAGAACGTCGCAAGCAAACAACCACAATTTGTTAACTGAGTTTAATTTTTTACAGTTCTCTCTTTCTATCGAAAAGTCAACAATCCGTCTATATCTATATCGTGGTCGGAAACAAAGTAAACCAGTCCGTTGGTTCTAATTCCGATTAGCGAGCAGTGCTCACTACAAGAAGATTGGTGAACGAACATCGATCTAGGGCAAGCAGTGCTCACTACAAGAAGAATGATATCAACGGTACTTTAATTTTTGACGGTCCCATCTCGTCGGCTTCGAGATTTGGCAGGGAAACCCCCGAAACGTCTCTCTCTCTCTCTCTTTCTCTCTCTTTCTCTCTCTCTATCTTTCTCTGTCTCTACAGCTTCCCCCCCCCCCCCATTCTATGCTCCCCAGCTGCACACGAAACTGCTACCGCTTTATGGGCTGTCCCAGATCCCACCCCCACCTCGGGGCGATAGTGCCCAGTTTGGAAAACACTGGTCGCGATTGTCACTAGTACAAGCCAAAGCTTACATACGGTCCCATCTCGTCGGCTTCGAGATTTGGCAGGGAAACCCCCGAAACGTCTCTCTCTCTCTCTCTCTCTCTCTCTCTCTCTCTCTCTCTCTCTCTCTCTCTCTCTCTTTCTCTGTCTCTACAGCTCCCCCCCCCCCCCATTCTATGCTCCCCAGCTGCACACGAGACTGCTACCGCTTTATGGGCTGTCCCAGATCCCACCCCCACCTCGGGGCGATAGTGCCCAGTTTAGGAAACACTGGTCGCGATTGTCACTAGTACAAGCCAAAGCTTACATACCAGTTACCAGTGATGAAAGCATCCTCTGCCTACCAGTCTTCTTGATTTTAGAGATCGGTTGAAAAAAGGAAAGTCACGGATGGCACTAGCTGAAGATACCTTTGGGGGCATCAGTCAAGTAGATACACAGTCCACGAGTCACATCCATTTGTTTCTACAGGGAAGATGTTTGCTCTCTAAACATTGACTTTGATTTTCTTGCTGATGCATGGCTATAGATCTGTTAGGCTGTTGAATATCAAACTAACAATTTAATTAGTGCCGCACTATTTTAGTCTCAAACAGTTGTTACTTTAACTCTTCATATCTAGAGGAATTGAACTTAGAAGCAATATTTTGCTCTAACCCGTATGAGTTTAACAGACTGGGCAGAAGTAGTTGAACTAATAATTCAGATACTCAAGGTTAAAGATCATATAACCTATGTCTGCGATAGAAGATGGTTAGACGGCAAGAAGACTGTATTACTTAACCGAGAATTGAGTTATTTGTTGGATTATCTTAATAGCACTCCGGACACGCCCATAGGAGCTCAGATTCCCCCTGCAGCTTCAGCATGCTCTTTGAATGAATATCGGTCGCCGTTATGGTCTAGCGGCCTCTGGATCGGAAGGTTGGGGTTCGGTTTCTGACGAGGGCCCGATTTTTTTTCAAAAATGATTATGGCTGCCAGGTCGATCCAGTCTTGAGTGGGTACCAGGTACAGTCCTGGGAAGTAAAGGCGACCGGCGTGATGCTGACCACATCACCGACTTAATTCCGTTTGGTCTATATAGTGTAGGTCTAGCCCTATTTACCCAATACACCTGAGAGGCGTGGGAACAGGTTCATATTATGAATATTATGCAACAACACAAAAAGCATGATGGTAAATGCACGCGCACACTCGCGCGCACACAGACACATACAAACCCACTCACGCACTTACACACACATATATATTCATATACACACACATATATATACACACATCCATACACCTACATACATACGTACGTATATACATCTATACACTCACCACATACATCATACACAAACACACACGCGCGCAGCCAAACCTACACACACACACACAGACACGCACTCACTGACACAGATTCACTCAAGACACGCTCATCTGCATACACAAACACACACATACACACACACACACACACACAGAGAGAGAGAGAGAGTTCGCACAGAACACGATCCCCAGTATCTCCGTAAAAATTACACTTGTGAACTGAAGGGCGCAGCTGTAAAACGAACCAACGATCTTCTGAGCACGAGGCAAATGGTTTGACCACTCTGCCAGGGAGACCACCGTGAATCTCATCTCCTTGTTGAGATTTTAAATTCATTAGTTGTAGTGAAGGGTCCAGGTTTGACACTGGCAACATACAGCTCAAAAATTGTTCTAGAAGTATTACATGCAACTTTGAAAATCAAACAAATTTTTCGTTGGTCGCATGACGAAAAGGGGTGCAGTGATCATTGTAATGACTGGAAAGATCAGCGGTAGAAAAGGCTCAGGCAGACTGAAATAAATGATGCTGGTTGATATGAGGAGGTATGCACAAATGGCATTATGCAGAACTCATCCAGGACAAAGACCAACACTGGTGGAGAGATATGAATGACTATGCCACCTGGCAAGACACATAATGGTATCGATGATGTTAGATTATATCAGTGAGACAGAGGTGCTGGTCAGCACGTGATGGCAGCACCGGGACTAGAGCTCACACTGGTCAAGATGTGATCTTTGGCAGTACTCATGCAGTCTTCTAAGGTCTCCATTCAGTCTTTGGGCTCCACTTTCCACATTTTCATGACTCTGCCATATTGCTAGGTCATCAGCGTACAAGGCTTTTTCGGCCTTGATTTGTTCTGGCAGGTCATTGATAAAGATTAGGAACAGTGTACAGCTCAATGGTGAGCCTTGTGGCAAGCCCTCCTCCAAGACTTCTTTAGAGGAGATTGCGTTGTGCATCTTAGTCTGTATTGTTCTATCTATCAGGAAGTATTTCACCCAGTTATACAATCTGCCATGTATTCCTATGCTCATCATCTTCATCAGGAGACCTTTTCTCCATACTCTGTCATAGGCCTGCTGGAGGTCGACAAAGACTGCCATTGTGTGTTTCTTATTCTGGAAGCCATCATGTATTCTTTGTGTCAGTCTGAACAGCTGGTCTTCTGTGCAGCTGTTGGTTCTGAAGCCTGCCTGTTCATGGCATAGAACACCAGAACTCTCAAGGAACCAATATAAGCGCCTGTTTATCATTCTTTCTGCAACTTTGCCCAAGCATGATGTTAAGGATATCGGGCGGTAGCTTTTGGGGTCATCTGGAGGCTTTTTGGTTTTAAGAATGGGGATGATATATGCATTCCTCCATGCCTTTGGAAGTTTGCTTGACCTCCAAGTTTTATTAATAAGCCTGAGAACTACTTCTCTCCCAGACCGGCCAAGATGTAGCAGCATTTCGTTATGGATCTTATCTGGGCCTGGGGATTTTCTAGGTTTTAATTTCTTCAGGGCTTGCTCTAATTCATCCATGCTAAATTCATTTTCAAAAAGGGAGTCGCTTGCTGTTGGAGCTCTCTTTTGTTTCTTCAACTGAGAGAGCTGTGTTCTATTGAGTTCTGACAGCTTACCTGCTCTGTTAACCGAGGCAAAATAATGATTGAAATGTTCTGCTTTCTTCTTGTCTTCATTGATTGTCTTACTCCCATCTGTCACTGGTTTTGGGTTCCCCCTTCTA